GATGTGTGTTGCTGTTTGAGGATGTTCGGTGTTTGATGGTTGCTGATGGTTGATGTTTGAAGTGCGATGTTTGATGGCTGGTGTTTGATGATGTATGTTGGTTGATGTTTGATGTTTGGTAATGTGTGATGTGTCATGTTTCATGCTCGATGTCTGATGATGTGTGGTGTTTGGTGACGTGTAATGTTTGATATACGATGTTTGATGATGTGCGATGGTTGTTGTTTGATGTTTGATGATGTTTGATGTGGGATGTTTGATGTTGTTTGGTGTTTGATGATGGGTGATGTATGATGATTGATGTATGATGTTTGATGAGGTATGACGTTTTTTGTGTATGATGTTTGATGATGTGCGATGCATTACGATGCAGGATGTTTGATGATGTATGATGATGTATGATGTACGGTGTTTGATGGTCTAGTATGATGTCTGGTGTTTGATGATGTATTATGGTGTATTGTGTTTGTTGGTGCATGATGTTGTATGGTGTGTGGTGCACAGTCATGGATTATGATGTATGGTGCTTGATCGTGTATTCTGATGTATGATGTATGATGCTGGATGGCGTGTGATGATGTATGATGCGTGATGTTTGATGTGTGATGTTTGATGACGTATGATGTTTGATGGTGCCTGATGTTTGACGATGCATGGTGGTTGATCATGTATGGTGTATGTACAATGTTGTATGACGCATGGTGATGTATGGTGTATGTATAATGCTGTATGATGCATGATGGTTGGGTGTATGTATAATGTTGTATGATGCATGCTGATGTATGGTGCATGTATAATGTTGTTTGGTGCATGGCGATGTATGATGTGTGTAGCATGTTGTATGATGAATGATGGTGTGTGGGTTATGTATCACGTTGTATGATGCATGATGATATATGATGTATGGAATATGTTGTATGATGTATGGTGTTGTATGGTGTATGTATCATGTTGTATGACTACTACGCCCTCGTCGTCGGCCCCCCCACGAGGCTTCCCAGGAGGCCCTAGAGGCCTGTCAGGAGGGCCAAGAGGCTTCCCATGAGGCCCCAGAGGCCTCTCAGGAGGCCCAAGAAGCCTCTCAGGAGGCCAAGGAGGCCTCTCAGGAGTCCCAAGGGGCCTGTCGGGAGGCTCAAGAAACCTCACAGGAGGCCCAAGAGGCTTCTGAGGAGGCCCCCGAGGCCTCCCAGGAGGCCCCAGAGGCCTTTCAGGAGGCCCAAGAAGCTTCTCTGGAGGCCCAAGAGGCCTCCCAGGAGGCCCAATAGGCCTCCCAGGAGGCCCAGGAGGCCCCCCAGAATGCCCCAGAGGCCTCCCAGGAGGTCCAAGAGGCCTCCCAGGATGCCCAAGAGGCGTCTCAGGAGGCCCAAGAGGTCTCTCAGGAGGCCCAAGAGGCCTTCCGGAAGGCCCAAAGACGCCTCCCAGGAGGCCCAAGAGGCCTCCCAGGAGGCCCCCCGGGAGGCCCAAGAAGCCTCTCAGGAGGCACAAGAGGCTTCTGAGGAGGCCCCAGAGGCATCTCAGGAGGCCCAAGAAGCGTTTCAGGAGGCCCAAGAGGCTTCCCAGGAGGCCCAAAAAGGCATCAGGAAGCCAACTCCCAGGAGGCTCAATAGGCCTCCCAGGAAACCCAATAGGCCTCCCAGGAAGCCCCAGAGGCCTCCCAGGAGGCCCAAGAGGCCTGCCAGGATGCCCAAGAGGCCTCCCAGGAGGCCCAAGAGGTCTCTTAGGAGGCCCAAGAAGCTTCGCGAGAGGCCCAAGAGGCCTCTCAGGAGGCCCAAGGAGCCTCCCAGGATACCCAAGAGGCCTCGCAGGAAGCCTAAGACGGCTTCCCAGGAGGCCCCGCACGCCCCGCGCGCCTCGCGCGCCACGCGCGCCGCGCGCGCCATTCGCGTCCCGCGCGCCCCGCGCGCCGCGCGCGCCCCGCGCGCCCCGCGCGCCCCGCGCGCGCGCCCCGCGCGCTCCGCGCGCCCGCGCGCGCGCGTCCCCGCGCGTCCCGCGCGCGCGCGCCCCGCGCGCCCCGCGCGCCCCGCGCGCCCTCCCCGCGCCCCCCCACGCCGCCCCGGCCAACATCCCCCGGTTAGCCCTACTACTACTACTACGACTACTACTACTAATAGTAATATTAATACTATTACTACTACTACTACTACTACTACCACTACTACTACTACTACTACTACTACTACTACTACTACTACTACTACTACTACTACTACTACTACTACTAGTATTACTACTAGAACTGTTTCTGCGGCTACGACAACGACTACTTTTACGATTACTGAACCTACTAGCGTTGCTACTACTAATTCTCCTACGACTACTATTACGATTACGAATATGACGACTACCACTATCATTAGTTTTACGGCTACCACTACTACGACGACTACTTCTACTACTTCGACTACTACTACTACTACTACTACTACTACTACTACTAGCACTACTACTATTACTACTACTACTACTACTACTACTACTACTACCACTACTACTACTACTACTACTACTACTACTACGGCTACTACGGCTACTGCGACTCTTCCTATTGCTGTTACTACTACCACCACCTCTACTAACACTAGTACTATTACTACGACTACTACACTACTACAAATACAGCTACTGCTGCTACTCTTAGCAGTACTACTATTCCTATTACTACTACTACTACTACTACTACTACTATTTTCACTACTACGACTACTACTACTACTACTACGACTACTACTACTCTATTACTACGACTACGACTACTACGATTTAAACGATTACCATTAGTTTTACTACTAGTACTG